GACGCTATACAAATGCTGCTTGTTAGTCTTGTTGTCTCCCACAGCCCTATAGACAGTCAACACCACCATCTCTAACATTTGCAGGCACCTGGTTTGTTGGCTGTCATCCTGCAATCCCTCTCGTACCTGTTCTCACTCACAGTTTTTGCCCTTTCACTGTCAACCCCATTCTGTCCAGTCTGTTTAAGTCTGCTAATAACTGCTACTTCATGAATATTTCTTGAAACATGCAATTTTCTCGGACTGAAGGAAATCATTCTTGCTTAACATACTGTTTTGCATATTAGGAGGAAGAGATTGATATCAAATTCAAATGCTTTAGTTGATAACCTTATATGTTTCCATATATCTAATCTAGTGGTTAGATTCCACTGCAAATCACAAGTTAAGAAAGTTATGGCAGAAAATGTACGTGTTTTACCAAACTTGAAAGAGAATTTTCAGTCACACCCACTGATAAAATACTCACAAATACATTATCTCTCCTCTAACAGGAGTTTATGATTCAGTTTAAATTCTTCAGATAGGTATTGCTGTGGTAGGTGCTCCACTCAGTCAGTTTTCCTCGTATGGTTTAATATTTATATAGAATGCCTTATGCTGCCTGTATTGTTACGGTAGCCGCTGTTTTGGAGGAACCTTTGGGGAATGCAATTAATCTGAATAATTGAAATAGTGGAATTCTTTCAAATATAGACATTCCTGGGCACCCCACACATTTATAATAGCTGACACACTGACAACTGGCAATTCCAGAAATGCTGTTGTTCTTGGGACAGGGTGTGGCGGGTTGGGGGGAAACAGGATGGGACTGGACAAGAGGAGCAATGGTGAGATGTAAACAAGAGGTGTAGGAAACATACAGAAACCCATCATCATGCCTTAGAAGGTAATTATATGCCACCTAAACATGGAAATTTCCCATCTGGAATGGAACGGCGCACTTTCATCCTGGAGGAGCAAATTTAAGTCCATTTGTCTTGAGCATTAATCACAGGTTGGCAAGAGTTATTGCTCAAACCCTCTCAGTTCCTCCTTTTCAAACATCTCATTCACCTTACATAACCTGCTGGAACTAATGGAATCAATTTATCTATCACAAAACATGAAATGGAATATGTCAACTTCCTCTTGTTTGGTCATCTATTATAAACTATAATATGGGGATAATAATAGACTCCAGTAATTGCAGCCAATATCTACTGCTTGTATGCATCAAACATCTGTCAATATTATTGCACACAGGAGGGCTCCGGTATTAATATTTTGGCATTAAAACGAATGAACAAGAAAATTGCACATGAAAAAAAATGTGATCAGTTAAATGTGTTCTGTACAAGATTCATATATTGAGTTTGTCCAGCCTTAATTCTTTAATGTAGATAGCATTAGCACATTTACTGCAAGTTTTGTTTTACTTGATATAGCTGAGTAGAAGAAGGAATGTCGGAAGGAGTCAACTATGCTTCAAGTCATGTTCCTGGTACTGGTTCCGGAAGTGGTCAATTTTATAATTAAGTCCACGGTGGGTCTCACTGATATTTTTATAATAAGAAGAAGTTTGAAGTGCACAGGAAGATAGCAGAATGAGAACGAATCTTTGTACAATCGTAGATAAAGTTAGTTTCTTTATCTTACATTTAAGCATTTTAAATGGATACATCACTTTCTTTGTTTTTGCCAATGTGTGAAAATCCAACAAGTTGTTTTCAAACCGTTTCTCCCCCACTCCGTTGTCCCAGCCCGGGGTTTTAGTATAATCAGTTTAAGTTTGGGGTTAACATCTCTCATCTGAAGGGTGGCAGGTATCCCTCTTCTCAGGGTAACATCTCAAAGCACTTAACACTTAACTCGGCGGCCGTGCCTTCAGCCACTGTGCCCCGAGGCTCTGGAACTGCCTTCCTCACTCCCTTCGTCTCGCTCCCTCCCTTCCCATTTTCAGGTCTCTGCTGAAGACCTTTCTTTTCGTCCGCGCCTTTGGTCACCTTCCTCCCCCCTCCCCTGGCTCGGCCCCGGGATCCATTACTGTTAAGCGATCTGAGACGCCGTCCAGCATGGAGGGCGCTATATAAATCCAAGTTGTTGTTGTTGTTGTTAACAATGGTGTATGTTTGCTGCCAAGCCAGGGAGAAAGGGGAGGTGACCGTAGGCATGGTACAAGAGAAAAGTCTTCAGGTATGATCTGAAGATGGGCAAAGAGGGGGCAAAACCGAGGGATTGAGGCAGAGAGTTCAGAAATGTAGCATTTTACATTGGCGTGTCAGCCTGGACTATGAGCTCAGGGGTTGGGGGTGGAAAGTATAGTCTCTGAAAGGAAACTTTAAGATATTTTTTATAGGATTGGCAATTAATGGATTTGAGCTGCGATCTGGAGAGTTTGTCCAATTTCTTTTCAGCGTTATGGAATGTATAATGTTTCGCATTTTATTTGCAAAAAGGAGATTTGGCAAGGGGAGACCCGGGGCTTAGTGGAGATTCAGAATATTTATATTAAAGAGCAGAGAAGCCGTTGAAAGACTACAACATTTTCTGCATTTGTAATGAACATATATTTGTACAATTTATTTTCCCAATTAAACTGGTTTCACTTCATGCAGTTAAGCAACTAAAATTAGCAATGAAAAGTCAAGTGGTGGTTAGGTGGAGGGAGAGGAAGGAGGTTAATAATGCAAGAATACATCTTAGGGTTCTTGCAAAACTGGTAGGAAATGTGCAGCTTTTACATCCGGAGTGATTTGAAATCGTTTCCAGTGATATTGGCAATTGTACTAAGTCACTGCATGTTCTTTCTGCAGATAAGTGTGCACCATTCAAATCACCTTACAGTCTTCACCTCCCTCCAATACGTTTCAACAAAGAAGATTTGAAAAGCATCTCTTTACAGATTGGTAAGCAATTTCCCAAAATATTGGCAATTATCTAATTGTATCTTAAATTCATGAGGCATTAGATATAATACTTCTAGTGAAAGAAATAATGATGATCTGTTCACTCAATCCACTCCTGTTTGTGGGACACTACTGGGCGAAATTGGCTGTCACGTTTCATTCACAAAACAATCAGTGCACTTTACAATGTATCCTGTGAAGTGCTTTGAGACATCTCAAAGACATGATAAAGTGCTATATAAAATGCATGGATTATATTATCATGTCATCAAAGCATCTCAAAGTACATAACAGTATTTTTACTGAAAAGTGTAGCAAGTGTGTGTGTTCTTAGGTAAATGCGACAGACAATTTGATGCACATTTTCACTAATGGTGACCATCGGCGGTCGGGCTTTCAGCCTCTCTGCCCCCACACACTGGAACTCCATCCCACAGTCCCTTCCCCTCGCTTCCTCCCTTGTCTCCTTCAAGGCCGCTCTCAAGGCCCTTCTCTTCGACTGTGCCTTTGGTCTACCTCCCACTTATCTGCCTTCCCTCACCCCTACACCACCCTTCCCCCCATGCTCGGACCCCAACAACTGACTGTTCAATGCTTTGGGACGTCCTCCCGATGTGAAAGGCGCTCTATAAATGTAATTTTGTGGTGGTTGTGATTGTTATAATTCAAATCTGTAAGTCATTCCTCCTGACTGAATAAATTCGCTGTAAAAAAAAAGAAAAAAACAATACAAAAAGTTGCATTTGAACAAATAACTATCGGACTCTACTGGGTTCCAGTTTTTCCCACGATTCAGAAATTACTTTTGAGGATACTGCAATATATGGTGAATTTGATACAGCGCTTTTTACGTTTTCTAGGCATCTCAAAGCACTTCATACAATAGACTGTAAAGTGAATTGACTGTATATTTGTGGGCAAAACACGGCAGCCAATTGCGCACAGTAGTGTTCCACAAACAGTCATGGATTGAAGTGACCAATTTATTATTTTTTTTCTTGAGGGATTATTATCAGGCGTGTGGAGTAAGGAAACTTGCCCAAGGTTTCGACTTGCCATATGTCATCAGAGGGGACATATTAAAACATACGGTTTTAGAAGTATTACAATATTTGTGACAGCTGTGCTCTTCAAAGGGCATAGTTTTCAGGCAAATTGGTCACAAATCTCTTGGCTAATGTCTCAGTCCTTTCAGTATTGGTGACTGTGCTCCAATCCTCTGATTCCACTCCATGGTTCATAGAGCTCGAAAAGTATCATTCAGTGTATCCGGATGTGTTCTACTTTGTCAGGTAGACATTCAGTTCTATTTCTTAGCTTCACATATTCTACTGATCACAATCTGTGTTGGGTTTCTCAGTCAAAACAACTAGATGAGATATTTGACTAATCTTCATTTGTGAAAACTGACACAACAATACATGTTTAGACCCAACTTCTCACTAGCCTTAGTTAAGCGAGCTGAAGAGTGCTACAGATGTGACGTAATTTAGTGAAAACATTGTGTGTATGACCTGAGTGGTGTCAAGCATTTCATGGTGTCAAGTATTTATTTCATGGTGTTCATATATTCATCAAAGTCCAATGCACTTTGTAGTTTTAAAAACGCACAGGGCGATATTCCACTTGTTGCTAAAAGCAGTGACTTGGCAATGTATACGTATAACAATTTGCACTTATATAATACTCTTCTCGTGAGGCAGGGTCTCAGAGCAATTAACAGCAACAAGCTTGACTCTGAGGTTGGGGAGAGTGGGGGAGGGAAGTAACCATAGGCACAGTTAAAGAGAATAATATAAATTTCCTATTTATCAGTAATTGGATACAATATCTCATCGTGAGTCTATCACCTACTCTCCATTAGGAACTCAAGTGGAATATGCTCAGTAATTTACATCACCATTAGTATAACATTGTACAAGTAATGACTTATAATATAATATAATATAATAATAATTCTTGCATTTGATATAGCACTTTTCACGTCTTCTTCTTATTATTTTATTATTATTATTATTATTTGCTAAGCTGCTTCTCCTTCTCTTCCCCCCCATCTCCCCTCTTTTCACAGGAGGACAGAGTGGAAAGATGAACTGTACCTACGAAATCAAACAGGAAGTTCTTTTATTTCAGTTTGTGGTCTACATTCCTATATTCATCGGTGGATTAGTGTTAAATCAATGGCTTTGGTAGCATTGTGCTGGAAATTAAAAAGAGCAGAAACAGTCATTTACATGACAAACTTGGCCACGTCTGACATTCTTCTGCTTTTTTCTTTGCCCTTCAAAATATACAGCTACAAACATTCATTGCCCAATGTCCTGTGTAAAGTTTTGAAATCTGTTTACTTTGGAAATGTGTATGTGAGCACATTTATGATCACTTGCATATGTGCAGATAGATACATTGCAATACTTTACCCCTTTAAGGCACGAATGCTGAGATCGCCAAAGAAAGCAAGTATCATATGTGCTGCAGTCTGGATATTTTCAAGTTTGTTTATCCTCCTTAATGTATTTGGATCGGGGATTGAAGAACAGCCAAAAACAAATTCAACAGTTTGCTTTCAAGGCCCACGTTGGCTAGATCATATGTCTGCGTTTTTTGTTATTCATCTTATGTGTTTTATTGTCCAATTTTCTATTGTAACATTTTGCTCAGTTAAAGTTATCCACAGTCTTTGGAAAAGAAACAAATGTGCTAACAGCGTATTTACCAAAGTGAGAACGATACGAATTCTAGCTGCAAATGCTATTACATTTGCTGTTTGCTTTACACCTATACAAATTGGGATTTGTATTGAAGTCGTAATGAAGTATATGTCAGTAGATTGCACTATTCTAAAACACATCCGTTCTTTCAATGAAGTAACAATTTGCATAGCAAACATAAATTGTTGTCTCGATGGATTCATCTTTTATTTCATAACAGCTGAGATCCGCGAAAGTATTCCTGAAGGCACACAGGAAAGGGAAAATTATTGTAAAACAACACCAACAGTTACCTGTGAAAATATGATATTAGAGGAACCTCACTCTGAGACACTTTAATGGGATATCAGATTTGCACGGTGTGGATCACTGTTGATACCAGGTTTCCTGGTGTAAAGATTTATGAAGAATTTGATCAAAATTGCATTGTTATTGAAGAGAAGTTTGAGGACTCGTGAGAGCAGTATGTTGGGTTATGCATAAGAGCATTGAGTATTGTTAGCATAAGGTGTGCAAAATTAACATACTAACCAGGGGACAAAATGGGTAAGAGGTCACAGTAACATGCGATCATGTAACTGTGGAGTCAGTACAAAGAAAGAGGGAGTGAAGGAAATGTATGATTGAATATGTTAATGGGGGATTGTAACATATTCACCAACCATTGAATGGTGTAAGATAGGCTATGTAAAATACCGGATTGTAAAAGCAAGACCAATGAGTGGATATACAAATAACGGATTGTAAATGACTGACAAGAGATTGGTGGAACGTATAGAGGGGGTGGAATGAGAGTATAAAGACAGGGAGAACAAAGAACGGGGGTGGAGTAAAAAGATCAGAGCAGCACGAGTGAAGACTTGATGGAAGATCAAAATCTTGAATAACCAGACAAGACAGATTTGAACCTCTGCTGAATGTCTCGTCCCGCGGTAGCATTGCTTTGTTGTAATCCCTCCATGGTGCAATTTTATAAAACTAATAAAGTTTGACTTAACAGATTTTACCTAAACGGAATGCTGGGTGACCTTTTTGATATCTAACAAGTATATTGTGGGGTGTTAAAGTCATATATTTGGCAAACTTTGGCAGTACACAAGTGAAACAGCTCTGCTATCTAGATAGGTCACTGCATCTTGACCTTAAGAAGATATACTTGTATTGAGAATTCAGTCCCATACTGAATTACAAAAAAACAGTGCCAGATAAAGGTTGATCTGCTGCATATTTGATTGTAGACCAAGTTCAATACTATTAAGCAGAGAATACCTCTGGTAAGAGAATGTAATTTGTAAATGTAAATATACTGGCTTGAAGTTAATAATGTTAAACTTTAAATAAGTATTAATCAATGATTAAAAAAAAACCTTGCAAGGTAAGTGCCAAATCAGGTGTACATTTGTCACTGATTTGATAGGCAAAAGAAAGAGCTTATATATTTTGAACTTATTTTGTATTCTTGTTGACATTAACTCCGTAACTGATTCTGTGATAAACAGTGTTTGTTCAACTTTAATTGCAAGTCTCTCGCGTATATCATAGTCTCAATTATTACAGCTTTATTTGAACATTTTAACCTGCCTGCTTTACTAACGTTTTCTATATATCCCAGAGGAGTGATTAAATACAATACAAAATTACATTTGTAAAACGCCTTTCACGTTGGGAGGATGCCCCAAGGCGCTGAACAGTCAGGGATTAGGACCCGAGCGGGAGGGGGTAGGGATCAGGGAGGGTGGAGGGCAGAGAGGGTAGGAGGGTGGTCGAAAGCATGGTTGAAGAAGAGGGTCATGAGGCATGCCTTGAAGGAAGCAAGGGAGGGAGCAAGGTGAAGGGACTGTGGGATGGAGTTCCAGATGGAGTTCTATTCAAATGTGTAGAAGAAATGTAAGACACCAGAACTCAGAACTCTTAAATTAATTCTCTATGTAATCACAAGAATTACTTTGAATAATGCTTACAACCTAAGCGACATTTCTGGTCACGGTGGTCAAAAAGTACAGCCATCAATCCCCACCCACACAACCTCTCACCAAAAGATAAATCAAGTTAAAACCCGAGAGCATCTGCCCCGACTGTTCTGGCCACTTCGTTCGCTCAGTGAACACTGACCTGCTTCACGTCACCCGTCCTGTCCGTTCCACCGATTTTCAGCCTTTCTGCACTGTTATCTGGAACTCCATCATGGAGTCCTTGGGGCTCACTCCCTCCCTCCCCTCACTTTAGACCCATCTCAAAACATACCACTGACCCTGTTTTGGGTCATCTTTCCATTTCCCATACCCTCAGCTCCCACCCCAATTTGAGTGGCCAGCCAACATTTTCAAGTGCTTTGTGTCATCCTCCTGATATGAAAGGCGCTATAGAAATAAGAGTTGTATTGTTTCTAAACTTCTCATCCCTTCACAATACATTTTCCACAGCTGTATCCGACTCATGGCTGAAAAAGTTTCATCTTTAAAAAGTTAAAATTTTCCTAAATATGCACTTTAAGTATTGTGCACACATGAGCTCTGTCACACAAAAATGCACATTATGTGAGTCCTGTACACGTCGCATATACATTGCACATGGCATACAAGTCTCAAATGCTAATGGATCAAGTTCTGCCTGAATTCATAAATTGTCTCGATGGATTCTCAGATAGCAATAATTTGTAATGAATTTTATGAGAATGTCTCATAACACTTCACAGGGTTTACTGTAAAGTGTAGTGACTGTATTTTTTTGTAGGCGAACACAACAGCCAGTTTATGTACTGCAATGTCCCACAAACTGCTGGGAAGTAAAAGATCAATTTTATCTGGTGGATTGTTGGCCAGAACATCGGGAGAAACTCCTTTCTCTTTTCAAATAGTGCCGTGGGATTTCATAGAACACAGCACCTGAAGTGTCTAGGAATACAAGTTTAAAGTCCTATTTTGGGGGCATAAACCCACAACATTCTGATCCAGAGGTGAGAGTGCTATCAACTGAGGCTGGCTGACACTTTCTTTGACATTTAATAGTTCTTAATCGTAACCTGTGTTGCTTATGAAAGGTCTGGATGAGATGAAGACAATCTCCAATTGCAAACTGCTGCTTGATAATATGCTTCCCAATTGCACAATCAAACCAAAAGTCCATCAACTGGGCAGTCAGTTTGCATTAATCAAACACAATGATCTGTGACACTCACCCTATCACTGTACTGTAATGTTAGATAGCATGTAACGTTAGATTGAATTTGGTTTGATCACCAGCAGCATTATACCTGCAAATTGTTCTACAATCTACTTGATACATTTAATCTAGAAGAAGCTGTTTACTTGACTGGTAAGTATTTAAAAATTACTTTTATCTTAAAAGTACTGTGTATTTTGTGCCACGTTTGCCTAGAAAACAGAGTCATTTACACTTTACTGTGTATCCTGTGAAATGCTTTGAGACGTCTCTGCCACTTGATATAGATGTGATATAGACACTATACCAAATGCAAAAATTATTATTTGTATTTTTATTATTATTTCTTCTGTATGTAGCTTTCACAAACTTAGCGATTGGGAAAGACGAATACAGGAAATGAGTCTAAAGCTTGTACAAACAGGAACCTTCTGAACAGTTTAAAATAGTGTGATTACATTAAATTGATGGATGACAGTGAAAAGCAACAGTAAAACCATGACTACTGCAGTATTTATAATATTTTGTGTCCACACTGTTCATCTGGTTCTCCTACAACACGTATAAAAAATGGAATTATGCTACAGGTATAATTTCACAAATTCTGGGCAACACAAACCTCCTGCCCCCACCACCAGTTGAGTTTAGAGTGAACACATTTATGATGTTTGGACTATAGTCACATTAGCAGTGCAGTTAAATCGAGAACAAACATGATAATAGGTGTATAATCCTTGTACTTTGTAAATATTTAGTATCCTGAATTTAGCGTCCAGGAAGGCTTCACAGTGGTGGAGTATGACAGTAGGCCGGCGGGGGTGGGGGGGGAGTAAGAGGAAGGGGGCTGGTGACTGTAAACCCGATCAAAAAGGACAAAGTGTTACTTAAAATTGGAGGATAGACATAAATTTTACAAATATGTAAAATCCGAACGAAGATCTGGAAAATGCAGCACAGGAAGTTAATGTGGTACAATAGGAAAAGTGAGTCATGTTTTTTTTAAAGAAAGTAGAACTGAAGCTTCTCCTTGCCTGAAATACACCTGCGTCAATTTCTGATTGGAGGAGTTTCCACTGACACAATATCATTATTCTTTTACAGCAGAACAGAGTTGCACAGAATGAATTGTTCGTCTGAGATTAATGCAAATGTTGGGTTTTTCAGTTCATCTTCTCCATCCCTATCTTCATCATTGGAATAGTGCTTAATGCCCTCGCCTTGTGGGCATTCTGCTGGAAATTGAGGAAATGGACTGAAACTATCGTTTACATGGCAAATTTAGCTGTTTCGGACTTGGTACTGCTTTTTTCTTTGCCTTTCAAAATAGTCAGCTACAGGCACAGATGGTTCAACGAGTCTCTATGTTCGTTTGTCGAGTCCTTGTACTTTGTGAATATGTACGTGAGCATATTTATCATTACTTGTATAAGTATAGATCGATACATTGCAATAAGACACCCTTTCAGTGCAAATGTATTGAGATCGCCAATGAAAGCAGGAATGTTATCAGCTGCAGTCTGGATTATCGTTTGTTTGTGGAGCATCCCTGTCTATGTTAAATATCATGCTCAGCCAAGCAATGAAACAAGCTCAAATTGCTTCCGACAAGTGTCGTTTGACACAGATATTTCTATCACGATATCTCTGGAAATAGTGGGGTTCATTATCCCACTGATCACTATGACTTTTTGCTCAGTTCAAATCATCCAAACTCTTAAACAGAGCAACTTAAATGCCAGAGAATTTGACACAACAAGAACAATACGAATCATCACCGCAAACGTCACTACCTTTATCATTTGCTTTACACCCGTACACATTGGATATTTTCTTCAGTGGATTCCAGCCATTAGGGAAGACTGCAATAATTGCAACAACTTACGATTGTTCATGGACATAGCGCCATGTATAGCCAATATAAATTGCTGCCTCGACGCATTTGGATATTATTTTGTTTCTGCTGAAGTTCGTCAACTTTGTAAGTTTAAAATAACACAGCGAAGAGACTCTGAGAGTAACAAGTAACCATGTTACAAATATTGTGGTGATGGGACCATTCTAATGACTGGGGAGTGGTGAGCAGAAGAAAATGAAGGGAAGTCACCATAGCACTTAAGATAGTCATCTAAAACATGTTTAAATAAATGAAAATGTAAAGTGAGGTCTGAACTTTTCTAAGATGTAAACTGATAAACTGATTGTTGTACTTAGTTATGTCTCTACTGAAATTAATTCTTCTTCCTATCTATGTAATTGATATGTTCTGTGAGCTGCCAAACTGATTATTCCTTGTTTAATGTCCCCGAGACAGTTAATTGTGCATTTCCACAAATACATATTTTTTAATTTTGTTCATACCTAATCCATTTGTGAAGTTCGAATTTATTGATTCTAAATTCATTTACAAGAAAACAATTATATAGAGTAAAAGGCTTTAGGAAAAAGCTTTTCATTCAGCTTCTGCCATCATGTTTTTTCTGCATTTTGATGGCTGATTATAAACATAGAATTTGATATATGTAAAGAATCATCTCCAAAATGCATTTTTTGAGAATTAAAGAAAACTACTTTTCTATCCACCAGGTAAAATTGTTTTGCAAATACACACAACTGTAATTAAGGTTAAAGCTGAACAAAGACTAAACAACCTTTGGTGGTGGATTGGACATGTATTGCAGAGTAAATAGTTACTGAAAATGCTTGAACAATGTACTTCCTGATAGTCTGAATTGATAACGTTTAGTATGTAACTCTATTTGTCATGCAAGCTACATCCGAGTACAGTACAGGAAATTCTGATTCAGTGGACTGTAATGCAAATATATTCGTAAATCAATTAAATGGAACAATCGCAAAAGCACAAAAAGCAATTACAAATGCTTTTCAACAGACAACCTTTAGATTATAACCTTTCTCTAAAGATCTACAGATAAAAGTATAAATTGTGGGTAAACTATATTTTCAGTATTTGATTCCAATGTTTTAAAACAAGATCCCTTCACCCAACACAAAAAGTATTTAATCTAAAATTTCTGGGATCATTGATGTTAAAAATAATCATTCTTACTTTTGATACAGGACCTTTCACATTTAAGAGGTCATCTCAAAGTGCTTCACGTAAAGGGAAGTGACTGTATTTTGTGGATGAATGAGGCAGACAGTTTGTTCACAGCAATGTCCAACAGACAGCCATGAAGTGAATGACCAATTTCATTTGGGGATTGTTGGCCAGGACACTGGGAAAAATTCTCTTCTCTTTTCATATAGTGCCGGATTTTCAATATTTTAAATTGGCTCGTACCTTGATATTATCATCAAATAAGAATATCAAGGCATGAATGCTTATGATGACCCATAAACTTCAATCTGGTTGGCATTTTTCATTTAAAATGAGATGACAGAATTACATTCACCATTTGATTCAACTAATCCACAATGGTGCTTATGCTCCACATGAGCCTGACCTTTTGTTACTCCCTCCTCTTAAATACATTAATACTTCCTGCTTTAAGCACAGCTTTCGGTACTGAGCCTACATTCTCAACACCCTTTGTGTAAAGAAGTTCCTCCTAAACTTTCTTTTAGATTAGCTAGGGACTATTTTGTACTTCTGCCCCTTGTTTTGGCCTCACCAACAAGTGGAAATAGCCAATTTATCAAATCTGTTCATAATTTTAAACATATCAAGTCCCCTCTCAATCATCTCATCTCCACAGAAAACCCCCCACAACTCTACAGGGATGACATACTATAACTACCTCATTTACATCATAAAAATTAAACACTTCAACTGCATGGGTTGAAGATACTGCAGAGGGTACATAGTGAATAACAATGAGTCTCAGTGGGAAACTAATTTATGACCTCCGTCATCATTTGTCAGTGTTGAAACTGGCAGTACGTTCCCAATGACACCAAACAAAAACTGAAAAGATCACTTCCCCAAACGTTATTTAGTTACATTTTTTCATATGGATCGGAGTTCGGTTTGTGCAACTCTGCTGGTTTTGTAATTTTTGTCTCTTCCTGTAAAGCAGACCATTTCATCACAAGGAGTTTACTGGTTAGTAACCAAGTTATCCTAAGTATTAGTTAAACTGGCTTAGAGCCTGCAGTGCAATTTAAGTTGTACTTCCTGCAAACTCCCTCTATTATTAATATGAAATGTTTTCACAAGTTGCTGCCAGCTCAAAGTGCAACTGTTTAGAGGTTTATGCCAGCAATTCACTAAATTTATGGAGAGATATGACATATTACAAACAGATGGTGAGCGTAAGCAGCATTTACAACTGATCTTTGATCCAACCCAGTTTGCTTTAAATTTAATTGTCCTTGATATAGCGACTTGTACTGTCAAAACCGTGAATTCTTATGGTAGGAATAAAGCCTGCGTGATCACAAAACAGTCCTCAAAACAGCAAAGTGCAATTCATCTTATTTTGGGGTAAATATGAAGGAATGACCAACTCTCCATTTGACAAAATTGCCACAAAATTCTATTCTCTCACCCAACAATGAAGGCGTATTCATTCTGCAAACAGATTAGTCAAGTTAACTTCCTCCTGATTCTCAGGAAAGAAAATAATAGTTGCGCTTCATCTTCAATTGCTAATGAGCTTTATCCCAACAACTGTGTCTAAAATGTTCCAGTTACACTCATTTCTCAAGCTACAAGGCGTGATAAACAACTCATACAATTTTAATCACAATCTTTATTGCTCACTTGAATTTTATAAACATTGTTGTTAATTAGGATTCATGTATGAGAATAATTGTAATATAATTATACGAACGGAATGGAGATTTCACATTCAGGGAATCTCTGCAGATAGAATAATTGATGCCGGTTACTGTTTTTTTCTAGATTATTCATTAACCTACAGCCAGCTTTTATCAGTGCTGCTACAGAGTGTACGTGTGACACAATACCACAACAATGAATTTCCTCACCATGGAAAATATTACGGGCATGAATTAAATTTGATACAGCAACACCACCGAAGCACTTCATACGAAAAGCATTTTTAAATACTAATCTCAGAGTTTGAAATTCCTTCTCAGATAAGTGTGTGTGTGAGAGAGAGAAAAACAAGCATAAAACAAATATGTCTTTTATGTTCTATCTTTTGGATTGAAATCTTCTGTGGCGGTAGAGGAGGGCGAAACATTTTCTCTCTATGAAGAGGGAAAGTGTATGTTAATGAATTCCTATTCTTTATGAAGTTATTACTTAGATTTCTTTTTGAAATCATTAAAATAATATATCATGCGGAACTTAATTGGAAGGGATTTCACTGTCAGAACAACCATACAGATCTAAATCCATGCAGTTTCAAACATGGTCACTCATTTGCATGAGAGCTCTTCAGTGAAGTGCTGAGAATGAATCAATAAAATAATAATTACATGTCCAATTTGATTTAAAGAGACAAACTTAATTCTAATGCAATAAAATCAAAATGAATTTAAATGCAATGCAATAGTAAAATCCAATGAAATAAAATCAAATTCTAGATTCAATATTTCAGTGCCTACTTTAGTCCTCAGCTTCCGTCATATCAAATGATTCAAGGTGAATCGTAAGGCAATCCTCAACTTCAGTAATGACTGATAAATAATGCGATAGAATGTCATGTTCAAAGAAATGTTTCTGCACACAATGGGAAACGAATTCAAGATGTGGGTATACACATAAAAATAAAACCACCAATGCCTATTTTTCAGTTATTTATTAAATCTAAGAGGCTGACAGCTTTCTCACAGTTATTATGATCAGACTGAACAGCACAGACACTCCAAGAACAGCAGCGATTACAATGGCAGTGATTGCTCCTGGGCCCAGCGATCCTGCAAAACAAAGACCAGCAGATCATCATAATGCAACTACAAGTGTTAGAGAGCTGACGGACTCCAATGGGGATGTTTATAATTCACACATGGTTACAAGGCCACAGGTTGGGATCTTTATCTGGATGTAAGCAACAGTTGTCACAGCCAGCAGTTATTGCCCTTTTAAATTGTTTCCAAGATAATAGACATATTTAGAATAATTCAAAAGATTATTATACATGTATAGGATTGAATGTTTTACAATTTGTGAGCAATATCGGTTTTAGCCCTGAAAATACCTGTAAGCCTGATAGGGCAATTCAGAACAGAAACACATTGCAAAGTGTTTCAAAAGCAACAAGTGTACTGTATTACAACTTGGAAGTGTTGTGGTGTCTGACACTCAGCAATGAGATAAATTAACATGTTTGGTACAGCAACACCACCAAACCAGGATGCTGGGAGAACTTGCTGCTCCGCAAATTAGTGTCACAAAATCTCTTATTAATAGCTGAACTACCAGAACATACAGATAAGTTTAATATGTCATCCACAGCACAGAATTCCCCAAACTGCAGTATTCCCTCAGTGCTGCATTGAAATGTTTGCCTAGATTAGTTTTGGGATTAAATTCAAAACCTTCTGTTATGGGGATGAAACTAACTGTCAAACTAACCCCCATTATAATTCATTATAAAATTTAACTGTATTGTGTCCCCATTTTACCTTTCTCCACTGGTTCCGACTCTTCCGCGAAATAGCCGTCGTCTGAAGTCAACGAAGTATCCTCCACAGAAGCTTCCGGTGTGACCGTCTCTGCCACTCCTCCCCCCGAGGACATTTCCAAGCTTTCGCTGGGTGAAGTCAGAACAAGATTACCTTGGACTTCAGATGTGAGACCTGCACACAACAGAACAATGAACATTGCCATTAAAACCATCCACTTTGCAATCCATTCCATTTTAAAAATGCCATATCTCAGGGTGGTCCGACCTTTTGGCTGTTGCAGGCCTGATTCCCTCTCGGGTCTATCTCAACATTTGTAGTTGCTCTGAATGCTTCAACAATTTGCTGGAGGGAAACTACAGCAACTACAGCGCAGTTTGCTTTTTTTTTTGAAAAAAATCTTTATTGAAACACAAATCATTTAAAGAGTAATAAATCAATTTCCTGGTGACAAGCAACTAAAATTGCAGTGAGAAATTTAACTCACAGGCAGGGGCTCTTAGAAATATAGAAACTTAGAAATCTACAGTGCATGTTGGTCATCGAGTTTGCAATTCAGTCCCTCCGGCCCACCTTAGCCCCATTCTGCTTCAAGCCCCTTCCTTTCACAGGCCTGTCGACTTCTCTCTCGAAAGCTGTGGCAAACTTCATCTCCATCAACTAACTCATGTCGAGAGGACGTCTCAGAGCACTGCACAGGATTTACTGCAAAGTACTTTGTAGTGAATGGGGCAGCCAATGTGTGCATAGCAATGTCCCGCAAATAGCCCTGAAGTGAAGGAATATTTTAATTGGGGTATTGTAGGCCAGGGCACAGGGAAACTCTTTTCATTTTTAAAATAGTGCATAAAGGCGTAACACTAATGCTAATTCTCACATTTGATGGAGTGCCTTATCAAATAAAAGGTCTTAAAAGCGCTTCATGGTTTTCTGTCAAGTGCAGTGACTGTGTATTTGTAAGTGAATACAGCAGCAATTTTGAAAAAAAGCAAAACTGCGGGAAACTTTTAGTCAGCATGACAGATCCTTAAAGTCAATAATACACTGAGTGCTGGAAGGAAAAATCTGATGGAATACAAATCTGTCTTGTCTTTGTAAAGAGTTGTGAAGGCCAATGAGGAGGGAGTTTCCATAATCGAGCCTTGATGGGACGAATGCGTGGGTGAGGCAGTGGCGGAGTCTGGCAATGTTGCGGAGGTGGTGGTAGGCAGTGCTGGCCATGGCACGGATGTGGGGGAGAAAGGACAGTTCAGGGTCAAACAAGATACCCAGGTACCTGACTGGCTCAGTGAGGTTGAGTGTGCAGCCGTGGAGGCTGATGCTGCCAGCGCCCAAGGTCGGAGGAGCTGGCGCGAGCCAATCAGGAGGACCTCGGCCGTGCTTGAGTTGGAGAAAGTTGTCCCTCGTTCAGGACTTGATGTCGGACAGGCAGTTGGTCAGGACCTCAGTAGTCCTGGAGTTGAGGGTGGAGGCAGAGATAGAATTGGGTGTCATCCGCATACATGTGGAAATTTACCCCATGTCTGTGGATGATATCATCAAGGGGGAGCATGTAGAGGGTGAAGAGGAGGGGACCGAGGACAGAGCCCTGAGGAACGCCACAAGAGACGTTGCGGAGGCTGGAAGAGAAGCCATTTGCAGAGATGAAGTGGAAGCGGTGTGAAAGGTAGGACCTGAACCAGTCAAGGAGGTTGAGGTGGGAGGAGAATTGAGTGGTCCACAGTATCAAAGGCGATGGAGAGGTCGAGCAGGACGAGGAGGCACAGGGACCCCTGGTCACACATAGTCAGGATGTCATTTGAGACATTGACAGAGCAGTTTCTGTGCTGTGGGCAGTATGGAGGGGCTGATGGAGGGACGAGAGGAAAGAGCAAAGCTTGGAGGTGACGGCTCTCTCAAGGACCTTAGACAGAATAAGAAAATTAAATCTCAAAGAGAGTTTAGAAGGAACTGTGCAGAAGGTGGTGCAATTGTGATACTCTCTGGCAGAAGCTATGTTTGAATCAGAAAGCATGAACATATTTAAAAGGAAACTCGATGCATATATACGAAAGAAGGGAAGGGGAGAGGGGCTTATTGAAGGGGTGGAGGTTCGCATTAAATATAAAAGCCAATACAGACTAATGGCCCATTTTCAGGGTAATAAAGAGAAAGAGGTGAGTGCCCCATATATTACACTGTGGATTGATTGCTAACTTTTGTTCATATATTGCTAATTGATTGATAACTTTTGTTCATTTCATGCAATTTCATTCTATTTTTAAGTGCTGTGACAAACATTCTTGAACTCTACATATTTCACAACTATATTCTGGTTATCAGACTTTGAAACCACAGAATATTGCAGAATATTTTTAAAATGGAAGCGGAAATCAAACCCACACCTTCAGCTGCTGTCCTCATCCTCCCTCAAAGTGATTTTATCTGAGTTGGCTTTATAACTAGTAACATTTTATACTGCATTTCATCTCTGTACTATGCTTGAACTAACAGCAGAATCTGTTTTTTCCAAAACTCTTTTTAGCTCCAAAAACATGTAATAATATTATATTGCATTTAATATAGTGCCTTATCACATGATTGAGACATCTCAAAGCTCTTCACAGAACATTCAGTAAAGTGTTTTTTAAAAAGTGAATTGACTGTACATTTTTTGGGTGAAAAGATTAAAAAGTGTAATGGTATTTAAAGCTTCCGGAGATTTGTGGAGCATTTGTAATCTTTTACACAGTTCTCAGCAGTTGATTCAGGGGATTTCGAAGAAAAATACCATGCAATTGGCCTCTCTAATGTCGCAATCTAGCTATTTAGGCAACGTTTTCAATTAAATTTAAACAAAAATGCAGGGTGGCACTGCTAGTGTAGTTATATGCCTTATTTCAGACATTGCTTGAGAATGGCATGAAGCTGGATGGTATAAAAATACTAAACTAAATTTCTTCGGATTTGAGTTTGCTATCAAATTTAGGTAAGTATATTGTCATGTACTATAACTCCTGTTGTAAGAAGATTCAGTTTGTGGTGATAAAAACTATCAATTCAATTGCATGATATTTTTCACACCCAAAATGTACACTTTATTTTCTCAGATTGTTATGAAATGCAGTGCAGGAAATTATTTTAAAATGTATACTGGAAGAAGAAAAATAAGCTTGTTGTAGCACAACTGCAATGGAGTTTCACAAGAAATTAGCCAACAAGGAAAAAAAAATTAGACAACTTTTTTTCACACTTGCAGATGCTGGTCACTGTGGAATAAATGACACTGCACAATTACATTTTTATCTTTTTATAATCACCGCTATCCTCTGCTTACATGCAATGAATCCTCACCAGTTCCCTTGAACACTTACTCTATTAGGACTGAGCAGAGATGAACTGAAACTTCAAGCTTTGAAACCCCAACTTAGAAACATAGAAACAGGAATAAGCTATTCAACCCCTCAAGCCTGTTCCGTCATTTTATAAGATCATGGCTGATCTGTACCTGCCATTGCCTCATAAACCTTAATACCCTGACCTAATTTGCCGTAATCTCTCCTAACGCTCTGTTCTCCTTCACTTTTAGATCATCCTCAAGTGAAGTGCAGGAAAAGTTAATTTCATAATTGCATGATTTCGCAATTTCAACAACAACAACTTGGATTTATATAGCGCCCTCCACCCATAACGGCGTCTCAGATCGCTTTACAGCAACGGATCCTGGGACCGAGCCGGGGGGGGGGGGAGGGGGAGGTGACCAAAGGTGCGGTCGAAAAGAAAGGTCTTCAGCAGAGACCTGAAAATGGGAATGGAGGGAGTGAAACCAAAGGAGTGAGGAAGGCAGTTCCAGAGCCTTGGGGCATAGTGGCTGAAGAGTGCAGTCTTGGATGCTGATGCTGTCAGCGCCTGAGGTGCGGAGACGCTAACGTGAGCCAATCAGGAGGGCCTCAGTTTTGCGCACGTTGAGCTGAAGAAAGTTGTCTCTCGTCCAGGACTCGATGTCGGACAGGCAGCTGTCAGGACATCGGTGGTCGTGGAGTTGAGGGTAGAGGAGGAAGGGTAGAGTTGGGTGTCATCCGCATACATGTGGAAGTTAACCCCATGTCTGCGGATGATGCCACCGAGGGGGAGCATATAGAGGGTGAAGAGGAGGGGACCGAGGACAGAGCCTTAAGGGACACCGCACGAGACGGTTCGGGGGTGGAGGAAAAGTAATTTGTGGAGACAAAGTGGAGACGTTGTGAGAGGTACGACCTAAACCACTCAAGGATAGGGCCTTGAAGGTTGAGGTGGGAGGACAAGCGGTGGAGGAGGATAGAGTGGTCGACCGTATCGAATGCTGCCGATAGGTCGAGGAGGACGAGGAGGCAGAGGGAGCCCTGGTCACAGCTGGTCAGGATATCGTTGGTGACCTTGACCAGGGCAGTTTCTGTGCTATGGGCAGCACGGAAACCCAACTGAAGGGGTTCGAATAGTGAATGGTTGGAGAGGAAAGAGCGCAGCTGGGAGGCGACAACTCGTTCCAGGACCTTGGACAGGAAGGGGAGGTTGGAGATGGGCCGGTAGCTTGATAGCTGCGACGCATCAAGGGAGGGTTTTTTTAAGGTGGGAGTGATGGTGGCAGTTTTTAAGGGAATGGGAATAGAGCCAGAGGAGAGGGACAGGTTGACGATGTCTGTGATATGTGGGGCAAGGAGGTGGAGCTGGGAGATAAGGAGTGGAGTGGGGATGGGGTCAAGGGAGCAGGTGGTGGGTTTAAGGGATAGGATGAGTTTGGTGACAGAGGGTGGGGAAACGGGTACGAAGGTGTGTAGGGGAGGATGGGTAGGAGTCGGAGTGTGGGAGGGAAGGGGTGGGTGGTGGGTGGATGTTGGAGGGGAAGTGACCGCGGAGCGAATTCCCTTGATCTTGGATTCAAGGAAATCCAGCATCTCCTCGCAGTGAAGGTTGGAGGAGATGACCTGCGCGGGGTGGCGGGGGGACGGAGGAGTTGGGATGTGGTAGAGAACAGTAGCCTGGGGTTGTCCTTCGCCTCCAGGATTATCCTGGAGTAGAATGACGATTTGGCCGAGGCTAGAGTGGAGCGGTAGATTTTGAGGAGGTCCAGCCAGATTTGTCGGTGGACCGTTAGGCCAGATTTGACCAGGTGCGTTCAGCGGCCCGCACCTGGCTCTTCAGTGAGCGGAGGTGGG